GCTTGATACATCTGCTCGGATAATCTTTAAGGAGATCTTGCAGCATACTCCTCACTTTAGAGATGAACTCATCCGCGTTTAGTAAGGCTGCTGCTATTAAGTCTTCCTCCGCGGGCCGTTCTTCATGCATCATATTCCGGACTCAAGCCAAGGCACCTAAGATGGCAAAAATTTTGAAATTCACTTTGAATTTCTTACTTTAGTAAATAACCCTATCCGAACAGGTAAAAAAATAAATAAAATCAAGTTGCATAGACCTCTTCTTAATGCAACTGTTTATTGTAGTGATCAGTGTGGTTGCTATTGACCATGTAATGTCAATTCACTCTGGTTAATTCAAATAAATATTACCAGACAATTAGCGCCTTATGGGAGCACAGACGCTGACCTATGTTAGGAAGATGACCTCACTTGCCAATAAGGGAAAAAAATTCTTGAAACACTTTGGCAGCATTTTTGTACACACATACATATTATTTATTTATTTATAAAATATTTTACCAGGAAAGCTACATTGAGATTTCTCTCGTTTTCAAGTATGTCCTGGGTCCACAAATCATTGCATTGTTACATTAGGGTACAATAAAATACAAAAACAATATTAATACACAATAAATACAAAATTTAGCATAGAACAGGTAGGAAATATATAATCAACCATGACAGGTGCAGTCTGTTTTGAGGTATGTAGAGAGGGATCTCTTAAAGGACTTTAGGCTTAGGGATGATTTTAAATTGTGCGGGAGGTCATTCCACAATTGCGGTGCTCTGTAGGAGAAGGAGGATCGGGCTGTTTTCTTTTTGTATTGAGGTAGACTAAGTAAAGTGTTGGTACTGGATCGGAGGTATATAGAAGGTAGTGTCAGGAAGCAGCCCCTATAGTAGTCTTCTCAGGCTCGGTGAAATAGAGGGGAGAGAGGAGAAGACTGAAAAAAAAAAAAAACTGTATAAAACACTAACGCGTTTCACCTGTTAGCAAGGCTTTTTCAAACCTCTAACAGGTGAAACACATTAGTGTTTTATACAGTCTTTTTTTTTTATACAGTCTTTTTTTTGCTATATTTATTAATCTCCAATAAAGATAGCGAATTTTAGCTATTTTGGAGCCTTCCAGCCTATCCTTTTTAACATCACAATTTCATCATTAAAGGGACACTATAGTCACCTGAACAACTTTAGCTTAATGAAGCAGTTTTGGTGTATAGAACATGCCCCTGCAGCCTCAATCCTCTGCCATTTAGGAGTTAAATCCCTTTGTTTATGAACCCTAGTCACACCTCCCTGCATGTGACTTGCACAGCCTTCCATAAACACTTCCTGTAAAGAGAGCCCTATTTAGGCTTTCTTTATTGCAAGTTCTGTTTAAGTAAGATTTTCTTATCCCCTGCTATGTTAATTAGGGATCGACCGATATTGATTTTTTAGAGCCGATACCGATACCGATATTCTGTGAACTTTCAGGCCGATAGCCGATATAATTTGCCGATATTCTGTACATTTACCATTTTGGAAAATAAAAACTATTTCTAAAGGTAAATGCACAAAATATACATGCCACGTGTAGTGGATGCAGTGTGACAGGGGAGCTGTGTGTGTGTGTAGTGGATGCAGTGTGTGTCTTTGTGTAGTGGATGCAGTGTGTGTCTTTGTGTAGTGTGTGTGTAGTGGATGCAGTGTGTGTCTTTGTGTAGTGTGTGTGTAGTGGATGCAGTGTGTGTTTGTGTAGTGTGTGGGTTGTGGATGCAGTGTGTGTTTGTGTAGTGTGTGTGGAGGATGCAATGTGTGTGTGTAGTGGATGCAGTGTGTATTTGTTTAGTGTGTGTAGTGGATGCAGTTTGTATTTGTTTAGTGTGTGTAGTGGATGCAGTTTGTATTTGTTTAGTGTGTGTAGTGGATGCAGTGTGTATTAGTGTAGTGTGTATATAATGAAAGCAGAGTGTTTGTGTAGTGTGTGGGTAGTGTGCGTAAAGTGAATGCTGTATATACTAAATGCAAAGTGTGTGTATATAATGAATGCAGAGTGTGTGTATAGTGAATGTAGTGTGTGTATATAATGCAGTGTGTTTGTGTAGTGTGCATTATATAAACACACTACGCAAATACACTGCATTATACACACACTATGCAAACACACTGCATTATATACACACACTACACACACAAACACTGCATTATATAAACACTACACAAACACACACACTGCATTATATACACACTGCACAAACACACACTGCACAAACACACACTACACAAACACACACTGAATTATATAAACGCACTACACAAATACACTGCATTATATACACACACTACACAAATACACTGCATTATATACACACACTACACAAACACACACTGAATTATATAAACGCACTACACAAATACACTGCATTATATACACACACTACACAAATACACTGCATTATATACACACACTACACAAACACACACTGCATTATATACACACACTATACAAACACACACAAACTGCATTATATACACAGTGTGTTTGTATAGTGTGTATATAATGCAGTTTGTGTGTGTTTGTATAGTGTGTGTATATAATGCAGTTTGTGTGTGTGTTTGTATAGTGTGTGTATATAATGCAGTGTGTTTGTGTAGTGTCTGTGTATATAATGGAGTGTGTGAGGGGGAATTTTTTATTAAATTATTTTTATATATATATATTTAATTATTAAAAAACAAGAGAGGAAATATTAGAAGTGGGCAAAGCCCATATCAAAATTCCAAAAGGGTTACAGAGATATCAAGGGGCATAACCCCACACGATAATTTAGAGTAAAAGGAAAAAGCTAGAGTGAAATGGTTGTTCCATTAGAGATGGAAAAATTGGACATCCATTACACCTAAAAGATATCTCATAAAAATAGTAGAATAATTATTGGGTATAACCTTTATTAAGCCGCATATAGATAAAAAACAAAGAACTATAAAGTGTGGTGATAGTGAAATACTTGTGAAAAAAAAAACAAGTGAAATAAAAACTGGGTAGATGCAGTGTGGATATCCTCAGATAGTAATAGGGTGACTAAAGTCTCTCAGGCTTAGATGTGCACTAAAAGGTATATTATTGACCATAAATTATCGCACAGTCACTCCCTATATCCACATAAATAGTCATAGACTCTCATATATTTTTTCAGCATACAGAGTAGAATTAAATCAATAGTAACCATAGAATATATATCTATCGTATAAAGTTATCTAAACTGTTGAAAAATAAAGAAAAGAGAAAAGAGAGTCTGGAGGGAGATTGAGTGAAAATATATATAATTATCTTTGCTACTCAGTTGGAAGTTTAGACACAAAATGTCTTAATCTTAATCAGTAGATATATAGCAGCCTTTATATAGATATATACAATGTATAATATCCAAGTGTATCCTTATGGGAATATTGGTAGGGTTAAATGGATGAGCATAAATAGTATTTGGTTAAATGGAAACCATACTAAAAAAGGTGTCTCAATACATCAGTTAAACCATAGATGTATGTATAAATATAAATAACATGCTCAATACGTGGTTAGGATTAAACCTGGGAGGTTAATGTGCAGTTGTCTCTTAATTATCTCTTAGTAATGAGATGGGTTAAAAAATTCAAACCTCAAATTCATAATTGCAGCTGCCAGGCAGAAAAATACATCCCACGAACAAACACCACTTAGATAATACACCCCATCCACAACAGAATTCCCTAAGAGTGAACTCCTATATAGAAGGTATACACTGGTGCTTTAGAACCACATAAATTGCTATATCTATATCTGGATAGAGATTTCACGTCTGCCTACACTATAAGAGATTTCTGTATAAACAGTGAGCTGCTGCTTCAGGGCAGCCTAGCGCTAAAAGTCACTGACTAGAGAATCTCACAGAAAACGCTATTGCTAGCTCCTACTGCTGCCACTAACTATTCTTAACAAGATGGTTCCAGCTGAGAAGACCCGGTCAAACTCAAACTAAGTCCCTCAGTATATAATCGGCATGCCCCAGTATTAAAACGACTAACGCTCGACGCACGTTTCGGCGCGATTACGCGCCTTTATCAAGAGCTTCTGGCACGGCTGAGAGAGGGATGGTAGTTAAATACCGGGTACAGTCCCGCCCGTGTATTCACACAGCCCAATCAGCTTACTTGTCGGTGAAGTCCCGCCCATGTATTTACATGCTCCAATCGGCTTGATTGTCGATAGGCTAGGGGCGGGGTTTCACCCCGATCACATGCACCTCATTCAAGAGGTGTGTCTCACAAAGTAACTCATATATGTGTATACAACATTAGCTATCACCATGGTGACGCAACAAATTCAACACAGTGCCGGTTGTCCGTCCACATAAGTTGCTCGATGTAAAAGCCCCAATAGATACATAAATTAGAAACATATTATCCGTGTATTAAACATAAACTTAACATTAGTAGTCTACCATTAGATTACAAAAAGAGAGTATATAATACAGGATAATTACTATTGTCAAATTTAAATGTAGACAAGAGATCCTAAATTATCTCTCATTTCTATCTATCTCTCATTGTTTTTACCAGTGGTTACTAATATATTATGATGTTAAAGACATAAATGAGAATTGGGACCCAGTTACTTAAGGGACCAACATTCACATTAATAAAGTGTTACTCGATCATATGTATTCATTATATGTATATTAGGTCATAAATATTGCTCACACAGCTACACGGTGATAGCGATTCATAAAGTGTACCCATGACTAAACAAAAATATCTAGTCATAAAGATACTATGGTCATGATCTCTAAAGACTATATCAGTGCCAGG